TGAGGGAGAGAGAGAGGGAGGATGGATGGAAGGAAAAAAATAGGTTGTTAGATTCCTCATGAATCTGAGAATGGTGTTTGAGCATAATAGAGGATGGTGCTGAACATCCCATTTTATGGGCTGCTGCCTTCTATAAATCTCTCTTCTCAGTAGGGAAAGGAGAGTTTTTGCAGTCCCCTGATAGTAGAGAGGATGTTAATTGCTGCTGGGGAACTTCTGATGGAGACCTGGGGACTGTTTTCTCCTGTAGGTGCATATCAGTTAACCCTGGAGAATTTAACTGCTGAGTGTGGCTGGTGGCCCCAACCTTCTGGTGTCTGGCCTTTCACTCAGAATTCTTGCTGGGCTGTGGAGATTATGATTGGAAACAAATCACAGGGACTAAATGTGTGCTCATCTGTTGGGAATGACTTTGTGTAGTTGTTTGGACATCTCAGAGCTGCAGGCAGGTGATCAAACTTGGTGCTCCACTCCCAAGTGTGGGGCAGGGCCAGTGGAGGTTCTCGTTGTGGATATGGACAAGCACTTTCATCCAGTGTTCAGAAGGGGATTAGCAGTGACAAATGCTACTTTGAGCTCCTGGGCTGTGACACCCCAAGCCATCAGGATCTGAAACCCTCAATGTGTTCTTGAGCAGACAAGGGATTCCAGTGTCAGGTCACCCCTGTACAGGGGTGCCTCGTGATGCTTTCACACCTTGCAGGAAGGGGTTTGCAGGCTGACTGAGCTGGTGGGGTGCAGCAAGTGAGATGTACAGCTGTGTGAACTGGTTACATGAAGGAAGATGCCACCTGGAAGGATGTAGCTGCTTTCAATCAGAGTATCAGCCTTCAGCTGGGTGCAGCACCCTATAACTGTCGGATCTCTAGCCCTGTTGTGAAACCCTGCCAACTTGGCTATTTCTGGAAGATGTTCCCCTCCAAGTACCAGCAAATCACAAGTATCAGAGCACTTGCCAGAGATGGAGGGTTATGATCATCTCTCCTGCTTATGTGTCCCACAGCAGTGCCCCATTAGCACGGATAAGCTGCCCCCCAGAGTGGTTTTGCTGCCAGAAATGATCACCAGGTCCACGGTGCACTGACTGAGATGCAGGCCAGGAACAGAGGGTACTTAACAACAAAAAGTCTCTTTAAAACAGAATTTTACCCCGTTGGTTTTGTTTGTTTTTTAACACAGGTTTTCTCCCTAGTTAAGTGAAAAATATTTATCATGAAATTCAGCTGAAATTCTCCGAAATTTATCTGCCACATTCGCAACCCAAGTATTGCAACAGCAGGAACCTGAGAACGCAACTGATTTGTCATTACAAGAGCTGAGAGAAACAGAGATGGCAAATAGCACTACAAAGATGACAAGCAAAAATACCATTATTGTTCTTTCAGTCTTAGTCACATAAAGAGCAAGCAGAAGCATAGGTAAGGTAATTTCCCTTAGATGTGACTTATGTTGATGGTGCTCTCCTATGAAATGTCTCTAATTTAACTCTTCCTTCTAACAAGATGTGGTCACTGCTATTACTTGTTACAGCACTGTGTCCTGTCAGCTTCAGCCCCGTATTTCACATGGTGCCACTGGGGACAGTTTTATTTCAAATGAACAAATAAATTAGCTCATTTCTTGTCTGGGATAGCTCTAATGTGCACAATCTACTATGTTCACAGCCTCAAACAAAATTACTGCTAAGGCAGCCTGCAGGTAAAGGGTCCAAGTAACTTCAGTTAGTCAGGAAATAAATTAATTGGAATGAAAGTCCTTGATGTCATCACAGTGCTGCTGGGCTCTCAGAGAGATATCTGAACACTGCTGGGAACCTGTTCCCTGCAGACACCCACATCTGTAATTAAAAAGGGTTAATGCTCATTCTGTGAATCTTCCTCAGCACTTACTGCTTCAACATGACTTTTTTTTTTTTCACTTTTCTTTCTGGAAGCCAGAGGGATTTTTTTTTTTTTCTTTAGTATCATCAAGAACAGGAATAGAAACTTTGCAACAAGCTCAGAATGTTCTTTGGCTCGGCACATGGGAAAGAGATTTAGGGTTGGATTTCCTATTGCTTCACACTCACTCCTGCCTGCTAGCAGGGTAATGATTTTGTGGGCAGGCATTTTTCTTAATGAGCCATTGGCAAAACTGCCTGTTTCTCCCTAATTTACTGTTATATCTCCTCAGCTGGGTTCTGGAGGTAAACACTTCACCTTCCTGCACTGCCAGCTGCCAGCGAGACTCTGAACTCGAGTTCATCTTCTGAAAGGCTCACTTTGCCTTGTGAACAGGGAGAGCAGGGGGGTGAAGATGTTTATCACTTTCTGAGGGGTTTTATTACACTGTTTGGGATGGATGGTCTGGTTTCATGATTTGCTTGGCAACTGATCATAATCCTCTAACCTTCATTGTGATTAAATGACAAATATCCAGAAGCAGAGCAAAGTAAGGAAGCAAGTTGCCCCTTCAGAGTGGGAAAACAAGGCAGCATGGAGCTGCCAAGGGACTGGAGCCCTTGTTGGAGCCAGGACTTGCACAAGAGCTCTCTGTCAGAGGTCCTTGTGCACTGTGCCTCCCACTCGTGCTGCTGCTGGAGCACTCTGTTCCCAGCAGCTGGTCTTGCAGCATTTTGTCATTGACTACACAACCCCAGATATTAATAGCAGAGAGATGTCCCCTGCTTTCAGCTGTTCAGCTGTGTCCCTGGTTGTCTGGGAGTTGATTCCTGCATGCAGCTGGGCTATTGTCATTGCTCAGGTACTTCAGTGCATGAGGTTGATGCTGTAGGCTGACAGGGAAGGAGCAGCATGGTGGAGGCTATGACCTGGTCTGGAATGACAGGCCTGTCAGCAGAGGGGCAGATCTGGCTGTTCTGTGAATGAGAACATCGTGGCAAGCACACATTTAGGTGCAGAATTCATCCTGTGCTGGCAGGTGTCCTGCTGGTCCTGAAGCTGCTGGCACAGGAGGGGAATGCACATCTTCACCGGGGGACAAGAATGGGTGTGTGAGCTCTTATGGAATTAGGAGACCAAAAAGACCAAATGTTTTCCTAAGATGACTCTCTGCAGTCACTGTGGTGACTGTTTATTGGGCACTTTCCTGAAGCTAGTTGTGTATTTTACTGATGGGAAGCAGTACTTGGATTCTCCACACTTGGAGAAGCTGACACACTTTGTACCTTTTGCCATGCACAGCTCAGTGTGTCCAGCACCATCTCTGGCTGTGGAGTCTAACTAGCAGCACATGAGTAGAACCTCACCTGAAAGATCACCTTGCCTCTACAGGCAGGAAGAGGAAGGTGCTGTGTAACTTGCCTGTTAATGCTTTCAATGTGGCTGCTGTCCTAGGAAGAAAGAAATGAAGCATCTTTTCAGGAATCTGGCTGCACAGCAGAGTGTGGTGCTGATCCCAAGCTTGGGGTGGGAGACACCCTCATGGATGAAGTTCACTCTCCCCTCGTGTCAGGCAGCAGCAGCTCCCTCTTCTCTCTGGACACCACTGGCCCAGCACAAGGCACTGGCTCCTTTGCTTCTCAGAGTTTCCCAGTTTGGAAGCTGCAGTGGGCTGGAATGAGGTATTTTAGCTGACACAGGGATGCTTGCTGCTCAGCTGGCCCTCTGCACTGCAGAGCTTAGTTCTGTTCCATGTAAGAAAACAAAGGGGCTAAACACATTCTGCACAGCAAAACAAAGCTTTTAGGGCAGGCAAGCACCTGATCCTCCTCCTGCTACTACTATGGAAACATGTCAGAGCAGAAAACCTGTTGCCATGAGACTGTAAAAATAACCCTGCCATCACATTATGGAGACACGGACTGGCTGCAGCACATGGCTTATGTAAGAGCAGCTCCAGCACTGGGATGTGGCACTGTGAGCTGCCTCCTGCTCCCAGGAGACAGGCAGCCTTCTGAAAAAGCTGCAGGCAAGACAGTTCGGGTGGTAAGTCTGTTATTTTTAGTCTGTGTGTCTGAAATATAAGCCTGAAGTGGACACAGACACTTTTAGAGGTATCTTCATCAGCAGGAGAATTTTAAAAGCAGGACCAAGCAATGGCAGCTGGGTTTTTTGTTTTAAAGAAATCACACCTTGGTTTTAAGGGGTCAGATACAGGATATTTTTTTGAACTCTGTGTCATTTGAAGCATGTTTAGAACTGGCCAGGGCAGGAGAAGGCCTTGCTAAGTTGGAAGGTGGTCAGGGAAATGGTGGTGCTGTGTTTGATGTTGTCATGGCTGGGAAAAAGGAATGAGAGCAAGGGACCAGGTCCAGGAGCCAGGCCCAGCTCTGTTGCTCATGCAAGATTTGGCAGAAGAGGTGAGCAACCTCAGGGCTGGAGAAAGGACAACAGCCATGTTTACAGTTCTGAAACTCTGCCCAGAAATATCTCTACAGAAGTTCAAAAAATCAAGGGCTTGGCTGGACCCAGACACTTCCCTGTATGCAGGAAAAAAAAAAAAAATCAAACTCACTGTAGTCACGTACTAATTATCACTATTTTTTTTGATCTTATGCTCTTGCTAAGTTAAGCACTTGGGGGAGCACATTCAGAGGGGGGAGTGCAGAAAACAGCAAATTTTAAAACCTTTGCAGAAACTACTACTGGTTACATCAATTGTCCTTTTACTACAAGACAAACTCAGTGACTGTTCCTGCTCAGCCCTCCTCAGGCTGCTTTTTAAAACATACCCAAGTTTTTTATCCCTTCATCCAGTCCTGAAAGCCTCATTTCTGCCATCTCCTGCCTTCCAACAGTGGAACATGTTTTCCCAGTGAGCCAGAAAGATGCTGCCTCCTCCTGCTCCTCCCTACACATCCTCAGAGATTCCTGACGTGCCTCAGATGTACAGCTTTGCTTTGTTTGAATGCACAACTCCTCTTCTGTGCCTCAGGCATGTGGAGGATTCCCAATCCCTCCTACTCCTGTTCCCAGCGTGACAAAGGAGCAGCTCTGAAGCCAAACCCCAGAAGTGTTCACATAAACCCCCAACAAGGAACATACACATGGAGCCAGGAATGTCCCACTGCTCTGATTTTAATGATCCCACGTCCACCCCAGCGCTGTGTCCAGCACAGCTCTGCCACCCGAGGTCCAGCGCAGGGCAGGAAAGGGTTTGTGGTCCAAAGAAACTGCAGAGTTGTAGCTGAGGAGCCAATCAATTCCCACCTCACCTGGGTGGGCTCTGGACACACCAACATCCTGCAAATCCCAAGGACTGTGGGATGAAACATGCCCACAGTGACAGCAAACACACTGTGACAATGGCACGGCCACCTCAGCCCTCCAGGATGCGGTTGATGAGCTTCATTTCCTCAGCAGACATGGGATTCAGGTTAAACCCCTTCAGCTCAGGTTTACCTGAGAAAAACACATGGAAAACGTCAGGATTTTGTCACCAAAGAAGTAAAGCAGCTCATGGTAAACTCGAGAGGGGCTGTGGGGAGGGCAGGGGCAGCCCTGGAAGCTGAAGTGGGGTCACCCCAGCACAGGGTCACAGCGGGTTTAGGGTGCTGGGGGCTCCACACAGAGACAGACGAGGCTGCTGGGGCAGGGAGGGAACTGCAAAACCAGTGGAAAACAGGCTGCAGGAACACATGGAACTGAGGAATCTCCTGATACACGAGTCTGCTGCCAGGCACTGAGCAGGTTCCAGTGGGAGAGTTTACCCTGAGCCTCATAGAGCCGGTTGACCTTCACCCGCAGCTCTTTCCGGAGCTTGTTTATCTCCTCGTCCAGCTCCTCCTGGTCTGGGATAAGAGGCACGAGTGAGGAGGACTGCGGTGGGCTCTGGGATGAAGGCTCTATTCCCCATCATCTTCCCACCCCATCCTGCCTCCCCCACCCCTGGGGCCGAGCAGCTTCCACGTGTGCTTCCCAGGGCACAGCAGGGGCCAGAATCAGCCTCTCGAGAGGCTCTGGGCACCTCAAAGCCCATCCCGACAGAAGCCCGTTAATTGAGCCAACATCTTGTTAATTATGGTGCTTATTAAAACACTTAGAGCTACACGGAGCCCTCGGGTGTCCTCACCCTGCCGCAGCATCTCCCGGGTCTTCAACTTCGGCAGCTCGATGAACATGCCCCCGAAGCAGACCATGGCCTTCTCTGGAGAGGGAAGGGAAGGGAAGGGAAGGGAAGGGAAGGGAAGGGAAGGGGCTGTCAGCGGAGCCCCGCGACCCGCGGCCACGAGGTCACGGGGGGCGCAGCCAGCCCGGCCTCACCGTCGGGCTCCGGGTCCTTCTGCAGCGCCCGCAGGGCCTCGCGGTTGCGGTTCCGCTTCACGTCCAGGTCCACGATCTGCAACGGGAGCGAGAGAGGCGGGAGCGGCCGGGGCTCGGGGCTACCGGCGGCGGGACAGAGCGGGGCGGGGGGGCCCCGCCAGAGCTGGGTCGTACCTGCTGCCGTGCCGCCAGCACGTCCTCGGCCAGCTCCTCCACCTCGGCCAGGTAGCGCAGCACGAAGGCCGGGTCCCGCGCCATGGCGGGGCCGCTCCGGGTCCGCCGCCGTTCGGCTCCGGGCCGCAGCCGCAGCCGCGCGGGCTGGTTCCGCGGCGGGAGGGGCCGGGCTCAGCGCGCCCTCTCGCGGCCGCCGCCGGGAGCGCCTCCCGGTTTGGGCACCCCGGGCTGCGGGGACCGACCGGGGCTGCGGGGATTGACCGGGGCTGTGGGGACTGATCGGGGCTGCGGGGATTGACCGGAGCTGCGGGGACCGACCGGGGCTGTGGGGACTGATCGGGGCTGCGGGGACCTACCGTCAGTACTTTGAAGGGCGAGAGCACCAGACCTGCCTGAAGCAGTGAACAGGGCCGGGGAGAGGAGCAGCCCCAGCACTTGGGGATCCTGGCACATGCACTTCATGAAACTCATTTGACAAGGAGCTCCCCAAAGGTGGTGACCCCAGTGCTGCAGCTCCTCTGGCCACCAGAGATGAGGACCACAGGGGAGGGACAGGGATGGAGGGAGCGAGGCAGCAGCTGGCTGGTGGTCACCACGCTTCTGTGGGCAAATAATCCCTTAAGGGAGATTACCCAGATCGGAAGATTACTGCCCTAATCCCATAAGGTCATTTGTTTCAGTTATCTGAGATCTCTCTCTGTGGCAGCATGGAATGAAGTACTGCAGCTTCAGGGAGCAGTGGGAGCCAGTGCTGGGGCACACACAGGCACTCCAGGCTGGGAAGGATCCACACTAGGGTTAGATTCCTTCCTGACATCAACCAGAAAATGTACTGGGATTGGGGCTGGATGCCAGTGCTGGGAAATGCTCATTTGTCAGTGGGAGCAGCTGGCTGGAGATCTGAAAAAGCAGGAAGGAGGGAGGGAGGGCTGTCAGATTCTGGGCAGGAGGATTGGGGATGGGGATGGGGATGGGGATGGGGATGGGGATGGGATGAGATGTGGTATGGGAACAGGGAAGGGAGTAGGCTGCCTGTCCTGGCAGTAATGGAAGGAAGCAGTGACTCTGAGGTTGCCAATGACAGTGCAATGAAGGCAGGGTTTTGCCAGGAATGTTGGGCTGCATGGAAGGGTGGGGGCTGCTCTCCCTGGGAAGGAGGGGCCCAGCTCAGCACAGGCATGGGGGAAGCACTGCTGAGGGATCTCCAAGCCATGGGCATCTGGAAAACATTGTCAGGGCAGTGAGAAGTGGCTGGTGCTGCACTCTGTGGCCTGTCCCCAGCCAAGCTCTGAGCCAGCCACAAATCATCATGGATTTCTCTTCCTGGAGCCAGCGCCAGGGGCAGACATTCTGCTTGGAAGCTGGACTCAGACTGGAACCAGAGGTCCATTTGGACTGGTTCCCCTGGGAACTGGGCAGTCAGAGGAAGCGGCCACCCGCCCGCTGCCGGGAGCTGCTTTGCTTTGCTGTGTGTTTTGTGGAAAGAGCAGGTTTGGTTTCATCATGTTCCTTTTTCTTCCTTGCAGCCCTTTTCTGTATGCAGCCAGAAACCCTCCCTGCCTGCTGGCAGCTGCACAGGAAGCTTCAGGGATGTTTATAAGGTTTTTTTCTCTCTTCTCCTTTCATGTGGCTGCTGGGGCCTGTTGTTAAGATAAATCAGACTTCAAACCACGGTCTCCGTGTTCTCAGGCTGTGGATCTTTAACTGCTGCTTCAGAGGGGGTGTTTCAGGGTCAGGGGAGAAAGGTGGGTCTGTCTCTCCCTGATTTCCAAGTCCCTTCTCTCTGGCACTGTGCCCACTGTCATGGCAATGTTGTCTGTGCTCCATCACCCAGCCAAGACAGAGAGACCCCAGGGACCAAGCCCAAAGAGGTCTGGAGTGGCCAAATATTGATGGGGCTCTGGCCAGTGGACCCCATCCTTGGAATGGGCCCTGCCCTGCCTGGTTGTTGATGAAAGGCTGCTTTCTTCAGGCTTTGGGATGCTGGGAGCATCCCCTCCCCCAGGCAGGCATTCGTGGAGGGGATCTGTCAGAGCATCTCAAGGTGAAGTGTTTCATTATCGATGCTAATACATGCAGCACGGGGAGAGCCTTGCCTTGCCGGCCACTCCCTTGTGCTGAGTAACATCTTCACCCCCTGGATCTCCTCCCAGGAATCCAGGCTTACCCCATCCCGGGGTTGTGCTGATCCCTCTGGCCACCCTGCAAGGCACGATTTGGAAGTTAGCTGTGTTTCCCGGGATCAAACACGCTCCCCCTCTCAATGTGCCGCGGGTGTGCTGAGCACGGGCCAGGCTCCAGCCGGGTTCCTCCGCTGGCAGACGCAGCAGGCTGAGCCTCGGGGGCTGAGCCGCAGAGCCAGAGCCCGGCCCCGTGCGCTGGGGGCTGGGGCTGCCTGCAGGAGCAGCTGCCCGTGTGCAGTCACCCTCCCTGGAGACCCGCCACAAAGGAGAGAAAGCCCTTTCTCCCGCAGCCCTTTCCCTCGCAGCAGTGCCGGGGATGCCGGCACAGCGCTGCTCCTCGGGTGAGGACATGTCCCGGGTGCGGCCCCTGGCTCTGCCACACACATTGTGTCCAAACTCCCGCGGGCAGCAGGCTCAGGGGAGGTGGAGCGGCAGAGCATCAGGGCTCTGGAGCGCCCAGACTCCAGCGGCCTTGGTACTTCACTTCCAGGGACATTCCCAAAGCTGGGGGATAACATCGGTAACTCTTTCACGAGTTTCATTTCGGGAACAACAGAAGTCTCCTACCAAACCCCATTATTGGTCTTCTCAAAGAGGATACAACTTCTTTGAGCAGCCTTGTCTAGTGGAAGATGTCCCTGCCCTTGGCAAGGGGTTGGCACAAATTGATCTTCGAGGTCCCTTCTAACCCAACCATCCTATGCTGATTCCATGCCTCTCCCTCCAAAGCAGGGCTCGGGTCCAGCCCAGCCGGTCCCTGCTGGGACCCTCCCTGTCTGCATCGGGCAGGGTTCTGGTGGTCTCAGCCCAAGGGGAGAAGAGGCACCCACACCTCCACCCACGCGGATCTCGGCCCAAGCCTGGACTCATGGGCAGGGTCTTGCCCGGACTGAGCCTCGGGGCTGGGTGGCCGCGGGGCTCCCAGGAGCTTCCCGGGCAGCTGCAGTACTCGGCGGGCTGGGAGGGGGTGGTCGGACAGCGCGGACCCCGCGGCTCCGCCGGGACGGGGTGGGGTGCGCCGTGCGGGGCTCGGCGGCTCCGGCCGGTCCTTGCCGGCGGGGCCGGGGGTGGGGGCCGCGCTCCCTCCTTTCTCCTCCTTTCCCCCGACAACATGGCCGCGAAGTCGGACGGCGGCGGCGGCGGCCCGGCCGTGCTGCTGGAGAGCCCCGAGGGCGGCGGCGGGCGGCGGGAGGCGGGCGCGGAGCCCCCGGCGCGGCGGTACCGGCTGCGGGACGGCTGCTGGGTGTTCTGCGCGCTCCTCGTCTGCTTCGCGGACGGTGCCTCGGACCTGTGGCTGGCGGCCCATTACTACGTGCGGGGGCAGCGCTGGTGGTTCGGGCTGACGCTGCTGTTCGTGCTGCTGCCCTCGCTCGTGGTGCAGATGCTCAGCCTCAGGTGGTTCGTCTACGACTTCGCCGCCAGCACCAAGGACAGCGGCGGCGGCACCAAGGACAGCGGCCCCCGCGGCTGCTGCCGCCTCTGCGTCTGGCTGCTGCAGGGCCTGATCCACCTGCTGCAGCTGGGGCAGGTCTGGAGGTGCGAGGGTACCTGGGGGTGACAGGGCCTGATTCAGCTGCTGCAGCTGGGGCAGGTCTGGCTGTATGGGAGGTATGGGAGTACAGGGGGCGTGGGGGTATCGGGGTGATGGGGTGCTGAGGGGATGGGGATGCTTCTGGACTTGACACACCTGCTGCAGCTGGGGCAGGTCTGGAGGTGCGAGGGTACCTGGGGGTGAGGGTACAGGGGGCTGGGATGGGGCTGCTGCAGGGCTGGATCTGTCTGCTAAAGCTCAGGCAGGCTGGAGGTACAGGGGGAGGGCGGCACGTGGGGGTCATGGACCCAGGCGGGGCCTGGAGGGAGCGGCACAGTGCAGCAGGGACATGGGTGGGGATAACAGCATGGAGACTTCAGGAGGGGTTGGCAAGGCATGGGGAAAAGGGTGGGGATGGAGAGGTGAAAGCAGGGGCCCAGGCAGCTGGAGGAGGCACAGGGATCAATGTCTCTGCAGCCCCAGAAAGATGGGTGGTGGAGAAGAGCTCCCAGCCATGGGCACAGGGGGGTGTGGGTAGGAGCTGTGGGTGTGGGTAGGAGCTGAGGGTGTGGGTGAGGAGCCACAGCCCAGCTCAGTGACACAGCCCTGCCATCCCTGCTGCCAGGTGCTGCTGGGCCTGCTGGGGACTTGCCTGGCCATGGCAGTGTGGTTCTGGGGGTGTGAAGTGATTATGCTGGGCCCTGAACACCTCGAGGCTCCTGTCCTGATCTCACTGTATATATGGGGTGGTGAGCAAGGAGGTGCTGGTGGTTCCCAGCCTGTCCAGGCTCTGCTGCTGCCCCATCCCAGTCCTGGGGACAGGCTGGTGGCGTGGGCAGGGCGAGCAGCAGACAGGCTGGGGGAGCTCAAGGCCCTCCATCCTCCTCCCTGCAGCCCAGGCTCTGCTGCTGCCCCATTCCAGTCCTGGGGACAGGCTGGTGGTGTGGGCAGGGCGAGCAGCAGACAGACAGGCTGGGGGAGCTCAAGGCCCTCCATCCTCCTCCCTGCAGACCCCCCAGCTGCACAAGGTGATGTTTTCTTGGCACCTTCCTCCGCTGTGCCGCGGACCCAGCCCCACGCCCTCCCAGCTCCAGCCCCACGCGCTGGGGAGGAGCCGGGCGCTGGCACCGAGCGCCTCTCGAGGAGCCGGTGCCGGGAGGGCAGACAAAGGCAGTGCCCGGAACAATGCCTGGAGCCAGCAGCACTCCCTACTCGGGTTTCCATCCTGTTTCCCCTCCCGGGTGCTGTAGTAGAGGCTCTTTGCTCGTTCCCTGTTGGTGTCTGCATGTTCATTCCTCTGCTGCTCCTTCTGGGATGCTCCGGGTGTTTAACTTTGTTTGACAGTGCAGCATGTGCCGTGCTCAGCACACCTGCCAGCACACCTACCCTCCCCTTCCCCCTGACAACGGGACCACTCTCAGG